GGTGTTTAGAAGTATCTTAGATTAGTTAGAATAAAAAGGAGTGAAGGTGCACTTTAAACGAACTCAAACGGAGATACTGGAGGGACTGGACTGGGCAGACGACCCTAGGGCTATGGCTGGATCGGATCCCCAACCCTTGACGGAAAGATATGAGTTTGGGGAGCTCTGGCAGGCGCGCCATGCCAGGCCCCAACCCACAATTTCTGCCGAGCACTTTTGCTCGTTTTCTCATCCTAAATTGCCTAAATTCAAACTATTTCTTCCCCAATAACCTGGATTCGATTACTTAACTAAATTACACTCTAATCTACTGGAAACAACACTAAAAACTACTTAATTTGATATCAAGAAATCAACAAACTCCAACACAACATGATTTAGAATGAACTTCAAGAGCACCTTTAAAGAACTTATCAAAAACACTAATCTTTAAACTTTAAGCATGAAATTTCGCTGAAAAAAATACATTATTGGAGTGTAGGTGATAATGCAACACTATGGAAGCTTACATACCTCTTAGGGATTACACCCATGGCAAAATCCCAACTAGACTCAAGAACGTCGACAAAACGCTTTCATCCTTGCCTCTTTTCTCCTCTTTTCTTTCCTTGTCTTTTCTTGAACTCTCAACTAAAACCCTAAGAATATTTTTGAATTATGAAACGGAACCTAAAATTATTATAACCTTAAAATATGACTAATAATGAATTAAACCTGATTGGATAAGGAAGTAACCAAAATACCCCTTACTGTTTTCGGCTAACTTTCCTTATCAAAGGGTCATATCTCACTCATTCGAACTCCAAATTAGCTAAATCAGTGGCTTTGGAAAGATAATTCAAATACCTTTCCAATGACATCTTGCAACATACCTAACTCATCATGTACTGGGAGTTATGCTCATTTGATGTTGACCCTAAACTCATACTTATCTTAACTCTCAAGATTTCCAATTTTTGTCATTCCCAATTTAATTCTTTTTGGAACTCGGGTGCTAAATCTAGAGAGTTGACCTTAAGACTTAAGAAATTTTTAATTCCTTGGTGAAATCACTACGATTAACGACCCAAGTATTAGTTCAAAAAAAAATTCTTGGGGGTTACAATTACAAATAAGAATATTATAAACTATGGCTCGAGACTTATGCCAAAAGATTAAAATGGTGGAAACTATCATATCACACAAGGAATGCCGAGAAGTATAAAATTATGTTCCATCGATATCCTTTATAAGGAAACTCATATAAAGCTTATGTCTATCTACATCACGTATTTTAAGGAAGTTTCTAATATTATTTAACAATAGTTTATTTTTTAATTTAATTTTGATATTTAGATATTTGACAAAATAAAATAAATTGTTAAACTTTTTCTGTTATCTAAAAAATTTTCTTCCATTCCATAGTGTACTTTCTGGCTCTAACCAATTGAAAATGAATATAGTTGGAATCGTCCTACTGAAGAAGACCCAAATATGAATCATTTAGCAAATGAATATTCAACTATCAAAACAAAACAAAAAAACTGTTGGTTGTGAGAGAAAAGGGAGAAACAACAACAGAGAAAAGGATGTTGATACTTCTTCATAGTTGATTCAAGATTACATTTTAATTATTTATTTTAATGTATCTCCAATTTTAGGTTTAATTTTAATAACTTTTTTGAATTTTAAATTTTATCATTTCATGTAAAACTTTAAATTCAAGTCGTCTTTATTAAGTTTGTCAATTACTTTTTCACTTTTTCTTTATTAACTATCCTTTGTTAAGTATTTTTTTCCCAAAATTCATCAACAAGAACGGTGTCATCTCTCTCAAATAACAATAGATCAAATTCGATACCAAGGGTCTTTAGAAAACAAACTATCTAACTCTACGAGATAGTGATAAGGTCTGCATACAATCTTCCTTCCCAGATACCACTTAGTGGATTTCACTAGGTATGTTATTGTTGTTGTAGATAGTATACCAAATCAATAAAGGTAAGTATTCTCAACATTAATATTCTTCTTCTAATTTATATATTCATAAAGTCTTATAAATAGCTCCAACAATACGTAATAGATATTCTTTCCTAAAATTCAACATAATGATCTTCACAATAACTAAATAAGGAATGGAAGACAAGAAGACACCAGCCATAAGTTCTTAAAAACAACCTCACTGTAATAAATAAATGATTAAGTGGCAATAACATAATGTGCCGCTATATTGATTTAATGGAAAAATTAATAAATATGAGTATTTATTACCAATACTTTATATAAATGTCACTAAAGGTTTTAGTGACATTAGATGTAATGACATTAACTCAATTACCGCTAAATGTCTCTTTTTGTAGTGCTTGAGATTGAAGTGTCACTGGCACAACCTATATATGACATATGAAGACGTGAAGTGATCGTGAAAAAAAACTACAGAAAAGATGACAAGATTACAACAGAAAAAAAACATATTGAAGGTCCAGATAAAACAAGATTATATGTTGCATGCTACATGATTACAACAGAAAAAAAGTTTGAACTTGCCTATCCGTGCCCCAACCCAATCCTTTTAACTGTCTATCTCATATAGCATCACCAGATTATCGGATGCCATTTCCTTTACATAATCATGTGCTGTTGTATTTGCCTATTTTTCCATGGCAGCACATGCAATATCCGTTGTAACAGAGTTGATAATTATTATCCAGCTTTATAATATGGCAATAGCATTGCAGATTTACGTGATGGCAGCCATTGTAGTTGCATTTGCAACTGGTATGTATGTTACTTTAGAACATTCAGTTGCTATCGCCGTTAATGTCTATTTTATTGGATGCATCTCTTTGATTGTGTTTTGCTTGTCTATGTTTCTTCTTCCTGTAAAATGGCCTACATAAACTTAATACTTCTATTATAATTATATTGACTTTGAGAGTCCCTTCATCAACCCATATAAAAAATTTCTTACAATGTCTTTGATTATTATTAAGATTAAAATGACGTTTAGTGATGTAACTTATGAGGTAGAGATGTACGGGTAGAGTGATGGTTAGTCAAGGTGGCAGAGTCTCTATGCCAGAAAATATGAGAAATATGAGGCTATGGTGGTTTGGTCATGTGAAGAGGAGATGTGAGGGTACACAAATTAGGAGATGTGGGAGGTTGGTTGTAGAAAGATTTAAGAGAGGTTGAGGTATACTGGGAAAACATTGTGAGATATTACATATGACTTAGCACACCTCCAACTCAATAGGTTGTCGAGGTGTTCTCGCACTTAATATGGGAGAGTTTGAGGATAGCCTCCTCCTTTTTCTCTTCTCATAATTGCAATAGTATTTAGTAATTGTGTAGTCTCCTATTATTCTATGTGTCGCATTAATTGTTGTTTTATTTTCTTTGTGTCGTGCTATTTGGGTATTATATTTTTCTAGCAATCTTACTTTGATAACATTTCTTTTGAGCGGAGGGTATATTGAAAATAATCTATTTACCTCGTAAAGGTAGAGTTAAAATCAACATACATTCTACGTTCTTCAAATCCTAGTTGTAGGATTATACTGAGCAGTGTTATAATTATCGAAAAAAGATAAAAGAAACATTAATTGCGATGAAGGGGAGGATCAATATAGTAATTAACAATCTTTTGTGGTCTTAATTTAAAATGCATTGCACAAAATATGAAATTTTTATCTTCAAAATAAGACGGGTTACCTGTAATAACAACTAAAAGTAACCTAATTGACGGAGTATGTGTATCTTAATCAAAGACCTTTGATGACGTACTATTTGTATTAAAGCATCTTAAAATGCATATCTATGTGCGGAGTTCGAGAATGGCCCGAAACACAAGAAACTATTTTGTGCAACCCTTGCATTTCTGACTGAGGTTCTTTCCATGGCTTGAATTTCTGATCTTCTAGTCACATGACATTAACTTTATGAGTTAATTTAAACCCCTACTTTCCATGAACTTGTAAAATTTCTATAAATAATAATTTATAAATATTTAACAAATTTTTAATATATATATATAATATATATATATATATATATAAAGAGAGAGAGAGAACTTTATATATCTTAAATTAAAAATATAAAATTCTAAAATCAAAAGCTTCAAATTTGTACTTATATATAATGTAAGTTTTTGACAAGAAATATTCAATTGGTTATATTTCAATTAGCATACGTGGTTCCACCATCCAAGATAAGTTTATGAGAATTTATTACTAAATTTAGTCAAATTAAAGATTAGGAATTAAATATAAATAAATAAATATAGGAAGAACAACTTTTCCTATGTTAATATACTTCAAGTTATAAAATAGTCCTAGTAAGCAAGAAAAAAATGAATATTTTTTTAAAATGGCATGGATTTGCGCCTTACAAGGCTTTAAAATTCATGAGCCTTATAATTTTTAGTGTTACTTTTAAAACCCTCTAATTAACACCGTTAGGGAAAGTAACGAAATGTTACCCTTTTGGTATCAAATGTATTGAGTTTCCCTTTTGAAAATTTCAAAAATATTTGTTGCCCTTTTGGTTCTGGACTCCAAACATTTGAGTAGTAAACATCAAATTTTGTTGGGTTGGAAAACAAATAATACCAAAATGAAGTTGAGTGCTTATTTAATTAAATAACAAAAACATCTTGTGACAATAGAGCACATGAATGAGTATCTTAATGAAGTCTTTGCTGAGTACACTACAAAGAAAGTAAAATATTACAATGGTTATATTACGACGATTCGAATGAACCGTCTCAAATTTAACATATTACGACCTTTTTAATCACGCCATATTAAATATTTCAATTACGACGATTTATATTTTTGTTACGATGCTTCCAACCGTCACTAACATTTTCTAAATTTTTTAAAAAATTCTAATAAATTTAATATATTCTTATTAACGTATAAACTATTAAATATAAATATTTGTATACAGAAACATTATTTCTTTTCCTTCATTAATTGAAATTTTTTATGTTTCTTCCTTCATTAAAAATTAATCACGCTGTTCTCTCTTTGTTAAACAAATTCCAAATATACTTTTTCATTTTATCTGTAAGATTTCCAAAGTGAACAAAATGAACTTAATCAGCTACCAACTGAGATTTCAATTCTCTGCAAAAAATATGAGCTCCCATAACTTTCAACATAATTAGCTCTTAATATACCCAAATTTCTTCCAATCTCTCCCATAATTAGCTCGCAATATTTCCCCAAATTTCTTGGTAACTAGTTCTCAATATACCCAGATTTCACAATCAAGGAGATTGTTCTCTCATAAATTGCACATTTAAGGAGATACGGTAAACTCTCAATCTTCTCTGACCCATTATTTTTAGTTGAGTTGGTGTTTGTAGGCTCTATTTATGTGTATCTTTTGATAGTTTTCTAGTGAATGTTTAAAATGTAAAAATGATTTACATTGAGTTGAACCTTCAGTTTGGCTGATTGAAATTTATCTGGAATTCCCAGCATAAAAGGACTAAGGTTTTAGGTCAATGGAACAAGTGTAGAAGGTGCACTTCACAAGCTTGAAACATAGTTGTTGAACTAAGTATGATATTTTAGTGTACATGTGTGTATCCCTCAACACATTTTCCAACATGTTTTGATGCTAAAACAATGAGTTTCTCTGTTCATTTTTCTTAAAAGAAGAGAGAAAGTGATTTTCTGTAAATAAGCAAAACTCAAATTGTATGAGTAACGTCTTTGATAATCATATCATATATCATATGTTGGGGAATCAGAAAAGATGAAGTTTGTAGTTTTGATGGATGACAAAGAGTTGTGGTTTTATGGATGACAAAGAATTGAAGTTTTGATCACTAACAAAGAGTCTTGATGTGTAACAAATCATTGGTTATCATCATCAAAAAGGGGGAAAATGTTGGGAAGTAGGAGAACAAATAAAATAGTTTTGATGATTGATAAAGTGAAGGCATGATGTCGTATGTGTACAATTATGAGAGATTGCGGCGAAGAAGAAAAAGTGCAAAATTATAAAGAAGAAATAAAAAAGTAGCAACTCAAGTCAAAGAAGGAAAGAAGTAAAAAAGTAGCAATCCAAGCCAAAGAAGGAAAGAAATAAAGAAATTACAATTCAAGTCAAATAAGGAAAGAAGTAAATATAGACAAGTTCAAGAAGAAAAAGGATTTGTAATTCCTTTCTTTGTAAAAGTTGAACGCAAATCAAATCTATAAAAGGATCAAGAAGTTGAAGGAAAAAAGTATCTTTGCATAAACAAAAATTGAGAGAATTTATCAACAAAGCCAGAACAATTGCCATTGCATATTCACGAAATATATCATCTTGAGAGCAGTATTTTCTGGAGAAAAAAACGCAGGCCTTCATCACAGAAACGCAAGGACCAGGTTCACCTTCAGCACAGCAAAATAAGAACCAGGTTCATGAAGCCTGTTCTACTCAGAACTATTGGATATTGAAGTTTGATCAATTAAAGTCTAGGGTTATTAGTCATTATTGATTTGTTCTAGGTTTATTATTGAGTTGTAATAATTCCTAGATTTGTAACAAGAAGTGGGTTTGACTTCTTGGGAGTTGAGTCTTGAGAGAATTCTAACAAGAAGTGGGTTTGACTTCTTGGGAGTTGAGTCTTGAGATAATTGTAAACAAGAAGTGGGTTTGACTTCTTGGGTTGTTAGAGTTAAGAAAAGTTGAGAGCTTTTGCAAACAAGAAGCGAGTTTGACTTCTTGTTGAGTGGAGAGTTTTCGATTATAGTTAATCGAAAAGAGTAGAAGTTTAGAGTTAGATTCATTGATTAACTGAGTTGTAAATCTTGAATTAATATAAAACTTCGGTGTGGTTTTTCCCTTCCTTGAGTTAGAAGGTTTCCACGATAAATCTTTGTTTTATTGTTTTACGACAAAATTAGAAGAACCTGGTTCTTGTTCTAGGGGTAAGGTTTCTTCATCATATAAAAGAGAACCATAGGTCCGCCTACGTGGCGACACCACAAGCAGAATTCTCTTTAAATTTATTTTATTTTAAAAAATAGTCTTCCTCTTTCATGAAAAGTTGTGACTTTTGTGAAAAGTTGTAACTTTTATGAATAATTGTAGCTTTTTTCATGAAAAGTTGTTGCTTTATGAAGAGTTACGACTTTTAGAAAATATTGACCTTCTCCAAAGGGTTGTTACTTTTCCAAAGAGTTGTGACCTTTTCAAGTTGTTTATGTTTATGCAAAGTTATTGTTATAAGTATTTGTTAGTACAAATTAAGAAAAAAATGTTAATTGAATATTGAAGCAAGTTTTCTGTACTGAAGCTGATGAAGGTTCATTAAAAAAAGTCCTTACAAATCTCAAATTTCTTCATCAACAACACTATTCCTTCACAAACAAGGATGTGATGTTGTGTTCTTCAGAAAAAATTCTGAGAGTTAATAACTTTGGATGCCCATATTTTTTTATTTTTATGTTGTTGTCTATTTTTACTAAATATTATTAGTGGATATTATGAGTACTTTAAGAATTGAAGTTGATTAAAGTGTTGGTCAATTTTTTGAGATATCTTATTTCAAAGCATAGGAATTTTTCAAGTTATAATGAGTTGTTATCGTCATTGGATATATTATAGTTTACTCCCTTTAATGTGTTTTTTCGCTCATTTTTGGTCTCCTTAGAACTGTATTGATTATTTTGTGTTTGGTATATATATAATCTTACTAAAACAAAGATCTTCATCCTTTGAATGCTTCTTTTCCTCTCCCATTCGACTCATATAAATATTTTTGGACTTTAGTTATGACTATTTTAGTCAAGCTTAATTTGAAGAATATGAAACAAAACTTATTATAAATAAAATTAATGTCTTAAACTAGAAAAGATATATCTCTTGACATAGATTCGTTGTCCTTCATGTCACAAGTCATTGATGAGCGTTTGGATTATCTAGGTTAAACTCATTTTCATTTTTTTAATGTCCGAGAATGTTTCTTTAGTATTACTCTAAAATCCAACATCTTAATCTATGTGTACTTTCATTATGCAGTTATCATACATAAATATTCATGAAAAAACCATAAATTTGTATTGATGAAGCATCCGGAAGCGCCTTCTGCAAATTAGTGAAGAATGAATTTCTCTACGGGTCACCAATAATATTTTGTTGTTGTTTCAAATATATTTTCTCCTTCTATAATTTTTTATTAGAATAAAAAAGTAATAATAACAAAAAGTGGTGAACATTTGACCTCAAAAAAGTAGATTGTCTCTAAAAAATATTATTTATGTTGTTGATGTGCATATTTTTTGATGTTCTTAACTTAATTATAACAAATATTGATTATAAAAAACTTTCACATAAATTTTTTACGCAAGGAGTTATGATAATCATAAAATTATTAGAATCTATTTTTTTCATGTATATATATATATATATATATATATATATATATATATATATAAAAGTGATTTTTTTATCGCTACATAAAAACATGACTCAATATATATAAGAACATTACATCATTGACATATAATATAATAAATTATATATAAGATTGAAATAATTATATATCAAGATATTTTTAATCATTTATTATATATTTACAATTTTTGAGTTAAGTGATAATGTCAACTCATTTAATTTCTCTATAAATGTTCAAAAAATCTACAAAAATTTACTATTTTTTTCTTAAAAAATTCGATTATTGGTAAAGTTGTTCAAAACGTTAGAAAGATATATTATGTCCGCGTTGTAACGACCCCTTTGGCCGTTTTGATTACTAGAGATTTTATTTGATAAAATATTTTTTGATAGATTCTAAATGACTGTTTTGGACAATTCATAACTATATTTATGAAATTAATAGGAGTAGTTTGAATAATTAATTTAGTTGATGGTTAAGAAGATCACATTAAAATTAATAGTGGACCACTTTTATCACCTCTTATAATTACTATATAATAATTAGGGTAAAAATAATTTGAAGAAAAGAAAATAAATTAGGGCATGATTACAGAAAGACATAGAAGCGGCTTCCCCCACAGATATGATGGAGAACTAGCAGCAACCGAAAGAATGCACGTAGAATTGGGTAAAAAAGATTAAGTACTGGTAATTTTAAAATGGTCATAATATTATTAATATTATTATTATTATTGTTATAATTATATTGTTGGGTGAACTTGAGGGGAAAAAGAAAGGGTAAATTGCCAATCTTGATGTTGTTGGTATGTGCGACTGTGTTGTTGCTGCAATCATTGGTAATCATTACCATAATGATTAAAGCAGCAAATTGTTAGTAATGTGGGTATTGGAATATATATATATATATATATATATATATATATATATATATATATATATATATATATATTCCTGTGGGTCATAGGATCTTAGGTGATGGAAAATACTCTCGAATGTAGTCGTGAGTTCATGTATTATAATTTTGGTATCATAAAACAAATCAAGTTTTGATATATTGATATAAATAATTAAATGTTAGGTGTATTATAATATGAATACCATTAGAATAAGTTAGTTGGAGGAATATAGACTTAACATTAGACCTGAAATTAAAGCCATGAGACTTGATGAATTAGTGGGTATCAAAGTTTAGGAATTTGACTATAGATTTGGATGAGTTTTTGGGTCTAGGCTAAACATATATTAATATGGGTGTCAATGAACTCGTTAACTTATAAATATTATATTTGATAGATTGAAAATATTCGGAGATACTCAAGACAAGAATAACACTGAGGAATTAGCTTGCTTGACTTCGGCTCTTCTATTGAGGTAGGGTATGGTTTATGCTATTTGATAGTAAACTCTTAATAGTGACTGATATGCATTGAATGATATTGTGAAGTTTTCTATGTACTTGATTGTGTGATTGTGTGGCTTGGTCGTGTGTTTTGTAATTCGTCTGAAATTCTGAGACCGTGGAATGTATAATCTTAAATCATCTCTATCGAAGTAATGCCTTGAATAAAGAAGGCTAGATGAAATATTATTAACAAATGGAAAAGTGGTGATACTAAATGATAAACAAACGATATTATAGGATCGGAGTGTCACGTTCTGACATAATATTCTTGGATCGGAGTGTCACGTTCCGACACGGTATTCTTGGATCGGAGTGTCACGTTCCGACGCAGTATTCTTGGATCGGAGTGTCACGTTCCAACACAATAATATTAAAGGAAAAACATGTTGAATTAATGGAAGATACTCAATCTCAAAAAACTCAACTCCCAAAATGGTTTGGTTTGGAGGCATTAGTCCTCATGTGTGATCTTGATATCATTGACTTATTACGAGCTTACTTTCATGTTGTTGATACTTGTTCATGTTATTTGTTGTTTATAACCTATTAAGTGATATAATTGAGTTTATACTATTATTTATTGAATATTAGTTCCAATTTTGGGTTGGATGATAATATCTACTCAGCACATGTTGCCCCCGTACTGAGTCCTACTTGTGTTTTTCTTTGTTTTCCTTTTATGAAATGCAGCGAGTGTACCTATGACTTCAGATTTCCCTCAGCTCTAGACAGCCTCCCGCATATCAAGTTTCAAGGTAAGCTATTCATTCAAGCTCGTGTTGGATTTTTCGGTCATGACATGATGTCCGATACTTTTGGACACATACAATTTTATTCATTTATTTTGGTGTCTTTTATACTCTTAGACTTAATAATTAGAGATTAGATGTCCTTGTTGTGATGACTTTCAGTTTTTGGGAAACGATAGTTAATAAATTTTTGAGCTTCTGCAATATTTTGTTATTCGTTGTTGAATTATTGGTACATGTTGGATTTAAATTTCTTGGTTCGTCCACCTAGGTAATTAAGTGTGGATGCCACTCATGACTTGTTTTGGGTCGTGACACGCGCGAAGCGCAGGTAAATTACCTAATATTTATATAAAAGAGAACCCTAGACCCGCCTATCTGGCTCCAATATAAACTAATATTCCTTTTTATATTTATTTATTTCCAAAACTAGCATTCTCTTTTCATGTAAAGTTATGACTTTTATGAAAAGTTTTGACTTTTTTTTGAAAATTTTTATCTTTTATGAAGATTTGCGACTTTTATGAAAAATTGTGACTTTTATGAAAGAGTTTGACCTTTCTGAATGATTGTAAATTTTTCAAAGAGTTGTGATCTTTCTAGTAAGGCACAATAAACATGTGTTCACATTATCCTATGTAATCTATAAATAGAGGAATTTCGTGTATCTGTAATTTGTAGGTCTTTAACCGCTATAGGATAATCAAATTAAAATACATTAACTAAGTTTTTATGAAGTTTATTTGATTTTTGAATGTTTTTATGGAGCTTAATTTTAACTATAACTCATAGTTATACATGTAACTATGGCAATTTCCTTTTTTTATTTTGATGAATTTTTTTAATTATGTTAAAGTTGCATCAAGGATGATTGAAAATTGATCTTCTCTTTTGTCCCTTCCTAAAGGTTTCTATATATAAATAAAGAAAATTGTTTTCAATTGCAATGTTATATGCTGCTGAAATGGTTGATGGTTTTAGTGATTACATTTGGTTCTTTAGTAAACAAATCTTTTATTTCTTCCATTATCATTTTTATGTTTTTTTCAAATTCAAACACATTAATTAAGCTTCTTATAAAGTGTATTTCGTTTCTCAAAGTTTTCTTCCTCCTATTTCATAAAAATTATTTTTTACTATAAATCGTAGTGGTTTATGTATATATTGTAACTTCTTCTTAAATTTTTTGTGACTTTTTTTTTAATTATATTCAAAATTCAAATGAGTATGATTGAAAATTTTACTTTTCTTTTGTCCCTTTCTACATATTTTCTTCATATTATTTTGGGGAAAATTGCTTGTCGGTTGTGCTATATTTGATAGCACACAAGAACAAATATTTGATAACCATCACAAAACCAATGATGAAGTTTGTTAAATGAACTTAAATTATTGCTCTCTTACTTTCCATAATTATTTTATTATTTTGATAGTTTTTTCTCGGGCACAAACTTTATATATGTCATTTCACAAGTTATAGACTATTTTTGTACATACAATTAGTCCACATCTTTTGTCGCAGGTTAACTAATTTGTCATATTTCTTATTATCTTCTTATTGGGAATCTAATAGATCATGTTTTCGTCAAACTAACAAATTTTCAAAAATACACTACAACAAGAATATCTTTTATCGGCAATAAATATGCACGTTCACGAAGAGTGCTAAGCCTTTACCAACATTAATCAATTTTCATTGGATTCAATGTTGCTATAGACTTTAGGGACATTTATATTTTTTTAAACAGAAAAGTTAGTATTATATTTTGGGAGTAGTATTGATCACCGATATGGGGGAGAGTTCAGACAACTCTCAGCCCCAATAAACCATGTAACTATGATAGGTAGCAAAAGGGTCATACTTTTTTTATGATTCCTCTGTGCTTTTTAGCATTGACTATTGGATCCACTTAGTAGTCAGGTTCTATACCTTCGGCGAGGTATAGGACGAGCGTAGCAGCGTGAGGCAAAACGACGTATCATCACAATAGTTCTTAAGTGATAATGGTTCATTTGAGAAACTCCAACAAAAGTATCTTTTATTTTTATATACACAAAAGTATATTGTATTTTTATATGCATTCCCAAGTTTACATTGTATATTTGCTTACCTACAAAGTTACTATTGTATTTCAAAATAGAAAGAGTCATTATCCATAATTTAAGAGCCTCTATACTACATTCATATTATTTCTTTATATTGAAACCAATTCAGTTTATTTGAGTTGAGCCCAGATATGTTCTTTCTGTTACTTTCAAGCCTATGTATTATGTTTGTATTCCCCTCGCATGCTCGTGCATCTAATAGTTGATGTCATTTTACATGCATCGTTGTTATGATACAGATAAAGGTAACCAGGATGAGCATCCAGCACAACATTGATTCTAGTTGAGCTTCAGAGTTTGTTGGTGAGCCTCCTTGCTTTCGGGGATCCCCTTTTATTACTTTCCACTATTTTAGTTCATTAGGATGTCCTTGGTCTTGTCCTAACATCCATCTTAATTATTAGAGGTTTTATAGACAATTAGTTAGTTCATTTATCACTATCTTGTTTTTGGCTTATGTTTTGAGACCTAAGTTGCCAACATGTGTAGTTGAATTTTTATTTTAAGACATTCTAGGTTTATTTCATAAGTTAATCATTTTAGACTATTTTCTTGTGTTTAAGTCTTCAGGTGAGTTGTAAGTCAAGTCAAGGGTTTGTTTGGGGCCAAAAATGATTCTCGAGTGCTAGTCCAATCCAAGGTGTAGGCTCGGGGTGTGACAATTTTGGTATCAAAGCACAGATTTCCACAGTCCTAGGGAGTCTATGAAGTCATGTCAATAGAGTCCTAGTTATCAGCGTGAAATGTGACACATGTATAATTAGGAGGCTGCGACATTTAGTAACTATCATACTTCTCTCATACACATTTTCTGCGATAGAGTGTATCTCCATAAAAGTCTCTTCCTACTCATGTTGCATGTCACATATCAGATCGTGCCTCCATGAAGAGATGCAAGAGGTCTTCCAGCTAGAAGAATTGTTGAACTATAGGATTAAGGGTTACCTAATGCACCGGAAGTACAACCCCAAGGAGAGGCCACCAATGCCGAATTTTGTGAAGCTATCCAGATGTTGAGCCAAGTTGTGATCAATCAATTTGGGAAACGGAGAGGGGATCGACACGAATTGGAAAACAATTCGAGGATCAGTGAGTTCTTAAGGATGAATTCTACAAGGTTCACTGGTTCAAGTGTTACTGAGGACCCTAAAAAAACTATGTTGAGGAGCTTCACAAGGTTTTAGAGATCATGTAAGTTGTTAATACTAATAGGGTGGAATTAGTTTCCTGAAGGGTGTCACTAAGATCTGGTTTAATCAATAGGCAAAGAACCGAGTTGAGGGAGCACCACTTGTGAGTTAGGATTTTTTTTAGGAGGCCGTTTTGGGGTGTTTCTTTCCCCGATAATTGAGAACAAGATTCTATGATGAGGCCTTTTTGTTTTTGGCCAAGGAGTTCCTTACTCTTAAGTAGGATTTTTTGAAGTCCCGAGAGCACCGCCTAGTTGTCACACGGCGTATTCAACCTCAAATAGGTCTTATACAAAACCTTAGCATTCATTCATCACATAGGCTATTAATAGTGTAGAATGAAAACCTTATATAAGCAAAATCAAAAGGCTTACGCGCCAACACACTTTTAAAAGAAGTCTTTATATGCAATGAAATTCTAGTCTCATAAGGCCAACATAGACCCAAACTTTAATAATGTCAAAATTAGGGACATGACTCTTTACATTGAAAGAAAGATACAACTTAAATACAAAAGTCTTAATACAAGAGAAACTACAACAAAGAGTCCTTGTCCTCGACATATGAGGACATACCCAAATCTTGAGAGAATTTTTAAGTCCCAAGTTTCACCTCTAGAAATCACCTCATTTGAACACACCTACACTTTGTAGAAAATAGAGGAAAATATGGAATTATTAAAATTAAGTACAAAGTATGATGACCATGCGAAAATCATGCTAAAAGGGACATGTACTTCATTTAAATGTTTTTCATGCCATTTTGATAAAGTTTCATAAATCAAGTGTAAAGGACATAATACAAGTCAACATCAATATACAAGATAATACCCACATAATACACAAGGTACCACCACATTCATTAAGTAGTCCATCTTATCATTTAGACTATCTACCTAAGGTTATCCCAAGACCCACCTAAGTAAGACATGAAGGGGTCACCCATAAAACCTCTTCATACACACTTAAGTATTCCTCAAGACAACCTAAAACAAGGATCCTTCCTATTCAACACAACCTAACAAGTCAAAAATTCCTTATTAGAGCATTTAAAGAGACATTCATGTATTTAAGAGACTTCACATAATGGTCTTGGAAGACCTAGGGAGATCACACTAGTATTTCCAAAGAAACATCCCATACTACTACCTACATGTTGCAGAACTTATTCAATATCTAGAGTGCACATACATATGATGGGAATACACATAACCGACATAGACCACACTAGGTAGGTATGGAATCCAAATTCTACCCTACTCCATGGAGGGTCTTCTAATTGCAAAGGGTAGAACTAGGATACATCTCATGTTGGCACGTGGTTTAGGGGATATCAAAAGACTTCTTTTTACTCTAGTCTCATACTCATGTAAAGCTACTATCTTAAGAATATTAACTTTGTTCTTTACCTTAGTTACCATAGTGTAATTTCAGTCACATAAGTGTATTAGGGAGGGCGACGTCATTAGGCCTACCGACCCATAAAACCATTACCAGGAAGGATATCATAAGGGTCTACCGATCCAGATTCATAATGATAGCTCATTTGTAGAGAGGGCACCATGCCAGGTCTATCTTTTCAATTCATTCTTCCAATCCTTCACTCAAGAAAAGATGCCTAAGCCTACCAAGTCAAGAGATTACATTCATCAAATTTTTCATGTATGAAGTAGGAACAACTAGGTTTAGCTAATCAAGACACCATATCAACATATAAAGACTCTTTATAGTCTATCATCATCACATTCAAACATTTAGAGGAAACATGCTTTCACTCACTATACCATATAACCTTATAGAAGATCATATTAACATCATATGACAACTTCACATTATGCCATTTTCTGCACAATAATATAAAACTCACTTCAATTCACCTCATAATGCTTTCAAGGACAAAATCTTAATAAGAACAATAAGTAAACACCTATAGCATAAGTGGATCAACCATACAAAAACAATCCTGCTATAATAAGAGATTGACTCAACTCACCAATATCAACATAACAACAGAATATGACCATTATCATGCCCACAAGACTAAGATAACCAACTCATACATATATAAATAATTCATCATAGATAGAGATACATAACAATATGAATCAATACAATAAAGACATCTTAGTACAATTCCACCAATAGACAATCATAATTATCAACTCCACTTTACATGCCAAACTTATGGAATTAGAGGAATCATGGGTTGAAGGAATTTTTCACCATAAAACATCAATTCAACCATAAAATAATCATAACAATTCGTTTGAAACCATTTAATGCAATAATCCGTGACTTTGCGGAAGAATTGATGTTTTTCATAACTTTTGGAAAACTTGGAAACCATTTGAAATTGACTCTGGGGTAAAGGCTATCCCTAGATGAAGGATCAACATACCTAAGAGATGAATTCCCTAGAAAAGTGAAGAATAAAGAAATCAAAATTTTAAATCCTAGCTCCAACATGACCTTAAGCTCCCATGATGTTCTTGAGAGAACCTTTTTGAAAGAGAGGTGTTCATTTTGAAGAATGAAGTTTAATTCTATGGTTTAGTGTTTTAAATAACTTAAAATACCCTAAAATACATAAACTAACCATCAGAGTATTTATTTAGCAAAGGGTGGAATTTACCAAACAACCCTTGGCTTGCTGACTTACACCTGAAAAAACAGGTTCTCACTCTTGACGATTACTTACGTACTGTAGGTGGTGTGATCGGCCGTCCTACCGCTTCGTGGGACTGGTTTGAAACATGGACATGGAAGCGAAGTTTTTCTTGGTTATGTCTTGACCAATGCAGCAAGACCATGCCCCGTCAAGGACCTACTGGTCGTAAGTCATGGCAATAGGACACTCAATTTTGGCAGCTTTGGTGGTTGAGCTTAGGGTCCTTCTCAAGGACCCTTAGTGTGGTCCTTAGAGAGTCATACCCAAAATTTTAACCCATAACCAAGGTCCTAGGGTCACTTCCACTTACTTAAGACACCTAACAACATAACAAATCAAGGACAATATACTAGAACACACTAGCACACAAAAGACTAGTTTTCGAACGTCTTGGTCGTCCCTTGACATTTCTCCTGAAAACTCTTTAAACCAACTAATAAAAGATATTTCTCATCATTTTAACAAGTTATTAACTCAAGAAACTCTTGTGAATCTCTAGTTCATCCTATTTTGTTTAGGGACCTTACATACTCCCTACTAGGGAACATTCATCCCCGAATGGCACTTAAAAACACACAAGGAGTAATGACTCAAGACTAGAAGAACAACATCATATATTCAACAACATATTCAATGTACATAGATGGGGGGGGGGGACATAAACTCAACATAGAATATACTCGAAACACAAGAAGAAGGTAGGAAAAACATGTACAAACTCATCATGAATTAAGACTTCACATTTCTCATTTCATATTAGAGGAACTTCTTTCTCCACATATCATGATGCTCACTTCAGCATTTCTAAGAACATAATGCAAATTTCTCGTAAGAGCAAAATTATACAACATTTTCAACATCACATTTAAGCATGCTCATAATTAAACTCATGTATTTAAGCAATTTATCAGAGGAATACCAACATGAAGGACAAAGTCATCAAAGCTCATTTTCTAATATAAACATAACTCATGAAAACATGGAAAAAAATCATAAGGGTATCATGAAAACTCATTTTTCACAAAAGAGTCTCAAAATATATATCATTCATCTCTATGTATGAAGCATTGGAATAGAAGAAAAGTGACAAACCCCATCAAATCTATGATTTACCATACTCACCCATTTAGGACAAAACCCATCGATAACTACTACAAATCAACACCTAAGGATCTGATCACAAAATAAGGAACTATAACTTACCGTCACCTTTATTAGAATGTTCTTCCTAGTTAGCTTGGAGAGCATAGAAACGACCACGATTAGGAGAAATAGAAATTTTACCCTCCTTGGGAGCTTGCTTGACATCCCTTCCTCCAGAAGCATGATTAGGACAATCACAACTAAGTTTCGCCATAACTATCTTAGACACATATAAATCTTAGGGTCACAGCCCATACATCAACTAAAAGTAAAACCAAACTTTATTATAATGTCTTCTAGAAT